AATTGAAGTAAACGGTCACACGTGGTCAACATAATAGTATAAAAGCTGGTGCTCAAGCGCGGCTTCATTAGTACTTCGAGTAGCCTACTATACTATATTAATATTTTTCTTTTTTTATTTTTATTATTAATTGTTTATTTCTAACAAAAAGCACAAGAATGAATTTTCAAATTCCTTACTTGAGAAATGACAGGTGATCCATATAAACATTCATCCCCTATTTCACACCCTTTAAGATTTATTTTTCTGACAAAAAGTAGCCTACGCCCTTCTCCTAGGTCCCATCTATCTGTATACCAAAATTCATCAACATTGGATCCGCAGTTTAGGCGTGAAAGCGTAACACAGATAGAGTTAATATAACGCGCTGAACACCTTCCGCGAAGATCCTGAATTAGTCATCCTCCGTGCAGATAAAGGTAACGCGACAGTGGTCATGAATACGTCAGATTATAACAGCAAAATAACTGACTTACTATAGGATGAAAGCACGTATAAAAAGGTGAAGAAAGACTACCACCAAGATATTAAAAACAACAACTAAGTTAATATCTAAGCACTCCGATACGCTGAAACTTGATGTAAGTGAGTTTGTACCCTGCTGCGTAAAACCTCCAAAACTATAAGGGTTACCAAAAATGCATAAGGCTGACACCTCACTCCGTCCCATAGTTAGCCAGATTGACACACCAACCTACAAACTGGCTCAACACATGGCAAAGGTACTGTCACCATTGAGATGGAACACTTCTACACATGTGAAGGATTCATACCATTTCATCAGTGGAATCAAAGATCTACGGTTAACTGATGATGACGCCATGGTCAGTTTTGATGTTCAGTCGCTGTTTACCAACCTACCAGTAAAAGACTGCATTGAAATTGTACGTAAAAAGCTAAGGGAACATAATACGTCCATTGAATAGCAGAATTATTACAACATTGCCTAACATCAGGCTATCAATTGTGGAATAATGAATTCTACCTACAAATTGACGGTATAGCGATGGGCTCCCCAGTATCGCCCGTTGTTACCGATATTTTCATGGACAACTTCGAGGAGCGAGTTTTACCCATGGCCCCAGCTAGGCCGAAGATTTTCAAACGGTACGTTGATGATAATTTCACAATATTACCTAAAGATAGCATACCTTCTTTCTTGGACCATCTTAATTCTTTTAGTACTAAGATCCAATTTACTATGGAACAAGGGAATTGTGGTACTTTAGCTTTCTTAGATGTTTTAATGAAAAGAAATCCTAATAACACCTTAGACCATACTGTATTTCGAAAGAAAACCCACACAGGTATCCCAATGGTAATTCCCATCACCATCCTAGCCAGTTAGCTACCGTGGGCAAATCTTTGTTTCACACATGGTGTCTGCGACAGTAATCATCTGACAGGGAAACTTCAGCATATAAAGCAAGTCCTACATGCGAATAAGTTGAAGATTCCACGCCAATGCCGCAGGTCCCGTGCGAAACCACCAATCCCAACCAAAACCAACAGTCTGCGAAGACCTGCCATCTTACCTTACGTGAGAGGTGTTACAGACAAGATCGGAAGAGTCCTCAGGCGCAGTCCTCAAGACCTATTTCAGGCCCCTGACGAAGATTTCTCAGTTCCTGAGACCCGTGAAATGTAACATCCCCTTACAGGATGAAAATCTCAAACAGACATAAGACTGCAGTACTAATTAATATGTTTTAATTTATTCCAAAATCTATTATTAATTAATAAATAATTCATTCAATAAAATAATTTGTAAAACTTAATGTAGCGTAAATTGGACAGTTTTTTTTGTAAAATTAACAATAAGGTATTTAATTAATAACTATTGTAACTATAGTGAAAAAATTGGGTGGTTTGCATCAATATTAGATATAGCTGGTTGGAGACTGTGGTACAGTCTCAGTCAACCGTGACCATGGGACCTGTAAAGGGCCCGAAACGTCAGTTTGTTTGAAAAAACAAATACACGCTATTTAAATCCGGAAAAATAGTTTCATTTCCTACGTGTAACAATCGCGAAAACCTAAGAACTCGATACAGACAAAGTTACTTCCAGCATTTACAATATTAGTATGAATAGAAATTCTTCAGCTTATTTTCTAAGGGAATTTCTCAGCAGTCCGAGATCAAGTGAAAAGTAAATATTTCGTCAAGTTTTAAAGTTCAATATAAAGTAAATAAACAATTTTATCTGTACACTGTACATAAGCAATGTTCAACATAAAATTGAGTATAATTAAATATGTCAGTAATGTTTATGTTTCTTATCTACAATTATTTCTAAGACTTAACTAATAGTAATAATATTTTTAACAGCAGTAGAGCTCCTTGTGAAAGAGTTCGTCCAAGAAAGTACTGCCACCTAACCTATTTTTGCCGCCAAGCAGTAATGTGGGCATTAATGCGTTCTGGTTTTGAAGGATAAGGGCACTGGTGAAATTACAGGCACATGGGACTTGTCAACTTATGTCTCAGGGTATTGGACGCAGTGTCAGTGCCCTTCAGATCTTTGCAATTTAAAGCTGAGTGGCACTGCAACTGTTATGGACAGGCTTGTAGCTTACCATCAGGTGCACGATTTGTTTGTCCCGTCATTAGATAATATTAAAGAAAATCTCACAAAACATTGTTTGGAATGTGTAATAATGATGCATCTTTATTTTTAACTATCTTGACTAACAATAAGGAACCAACATTATGGTCATCCAGGGGCCAAAGGAGTTATCCGTATCTGTAATTAGATGTTAATACATCTCATGCAAAATTTATGCTCACAAGGTACAATTTACAATGTACCTGAAAAGAAAGAACACATTGTAAATTGTATCATAAATGCATGTATTTTGTGCTTCAATTTTGCAAATTGTGAAAATCGTATTTTTCCTTTTACGCCATCACAACGATAGTTTATAAATATTTTATGAAACAAAGGAGAAGCAAACAAAAAAAAACAATTGGCTTGATCATTTCATTGATTTTTTTCTATTAGTAAAATACTGCAGCCCACATTGGCAACACTGTCAAGGTTCATGGTCAATGAAGCATTCTGGGTTCTATACTTAGCTAACATTTCTGCTACCTCATTGTCCTTGATGTAGGAGTGACCTGGAAGTGATCGTTGTTCCTCTTTCTAAGAGTGTTTAGAGCAGTTGCACAGTGCTCCACAAACTTAGGTGTTTGGAAAACTGAGGCCAGTGCATGAACATGAAGTGCCGCTTGATTGAATCTATGTATACACTTTGTATGTACTTCAAAGCCACCGCACAAAAAAATGTCACTAATTTGTATATCTTAGTTCAATATGAAATGTTCAATCATTAAATTTTGTCAGTATGTTGTTGATACATCTCTATGGAGAAAAAATGGGCAGCCACTATACAGAAAGCACTTGGAAGTCACTCTAAAACCCTACCTACCCTTGTTGGTTTTTGAGATCCATCTCGCGAAATGGGGTACCCCGTGCAATCATATTCTGATTTAGGTTTTTACCGAGCCTAAAAGATGGATGTGTATATATACCTACCCATATGTACCTGAATCTGGGTCACATATTATGTACACCACAGTCAAATATGGGAACCTCCTTCAAGCTGTTGTGTTTTATGAACCTGTTTTTTTAGAAAGCATGCACCATTCTCACCACAGAACATTCCAGGATTGACCTTGGGAAACTGACACTGAGTCAAGCCTTGAAGTCGTCAGTAAAGAAATAATAAACAATACTAACACCTGGAAGGTTCATTTCAGCCTTTCTGAGTTGTAAGCCTGTTCCGAAATGTTTTTTTTTTTGTGGAGTCTTATTCTATGAATAGTCCATTTGTCAATTAATTACAAATTTGGGTTAAATAGGAGTGACCAATTAAAACGAAATAATTTTTATGCGATTGGTGCCCATAGTAAAATTCTTCTTTTTATTTACTGACAGTGCCCTTTTAGTGTTTCACCAGTACCGAGTGTTCTGCTATAAATTTTATCAGTTCCAGTGGGTTCTGTTACTCAACAAGTTTTGTGGGGGTACTTTGTTAGAGAGAACAAGCTTATGTAGTGAATTTTGAATTTGTTCAATTTTATAGACTGAATCTGTCATGTCAACTAGTAATTTTGTATTTCATGACAAGCACTGGCGATTGCACTGTTTATGCTTGGAAAGTGTGTCTGAGTGGTCATACCTTAGAAAAGAAAGCATTGACCACAGTGACAGAGTTCAAATTAAGCAATTGTAAAGGATTCAAAAGTGCATGGTGGAATACACACCTCCCATGATTTAGCTCATATAATCAGGAAAGACAGGGCCATAGTATGATGATGGATTTGTCCATTATACCATAGACAGCAATTAAATACATAATTTGAGGAATGTAGTTATGTTTTAAATGTAATTGGTACCCCTTTTGTTATAGGCTCATATAATAGGAAAGACAGGGTCACAATATGATGGTGGGGTTGTCCATTATACCACAGACAAACATAGATTGGCACACCTTTTGTTAAAGGCACATTTAACCAGGAAAGACAGGGTCATGGTATGATAGTAGGTCTGTCCATTATACCATAGACAGCAAATCATTTCACAATTTGAGGTAGTTTTTTTTAAACAGACTGCCACATCTTTTGTTATAATGTGATCAACAGGTAGGGGTTCACATACAAAGATAGCATTTAAAAATCCTCGCAATGCGACACGACGCTATCCACACCACACTTAAATAATGATGACGAATACAAAAAGTTTGCACAATACCCATGCTTATAAACAGAAACATGAATTATCACGTTCATTACACCGCGCAAATGACCTACATAGCAAAAAATCAAATTAAGAGCTAATTACGTCATTAATATACATTTCGTGGTTGATTAAATTAAGTCACTCCATTTAGAAGGCTGAATATCGCTGTATAACCAACGTCTACTCATGTAATGACAGTGTGAAATATAGTTGAGATTGTAGGATATATGAAAGGTTTTATCTAGACAAAACTCACCGCTGTTCGACCAGACTCGTCACCTTCCTGTGCTGGTCGGTCTTTCTTCGGTCTCACATCAGATTTCTGTTTGGTATCCTCAAGTTTTTTAGCTAACTCATCGGCGGTTGCAAATTTTTTTGACTTGGACTTTTTGCGATCTTTCTTTGCGAAAAAGTCATCCAGATCTGCCATATCGAATTTTAACAATAAACTTGTTTGTTAAACAGTGGTTAAGGAGGTAATTACAGCAATATTGGAACAAAAGAAAAGGGGGAAATTACTTGGTTCCCCGAAAAAGATTTTTGTGGCAAGCGTGGCCGACTGTTTCTTTTTTTTTTTAAATGGCAGATCGCAATGTTGCTATTTTTCAATTATAAGAACTACCACCTCTAAATATGAAAACGTTCATTTAAAATGGTAACGTTAAATACAATTGTGACAAGTTAAAAAACTGCTGACATTTCTAGAGTTATGCCACCAGCCACCACAGCCACTATTAATTAGAACTGGCACTTATTACCATACTTGACTCATTATGTTACTTTTAAAACGATAACAAATAATAATATTATGGGTCATCTAGTCACCAGCTTTCTTAACACAGTACCTACTTGAGGGAATTATTTGACGTTATTTTTATTTGTTATAATTTGGGAACAAAACTTTTAGATTTCAAAGTGGTAATTTTGGCTCAACTGGAAGCTTTTTTATAAGACGAAATATTGTATAAGAAAATCGTTTGTTTGTTATAATTATTATATTATTTAATTTTAATTTTTATTTTTTATTTATGGCACAACAACAGACTTCAGACACAAGCAATATAGAAAAAAAACACTAAAAAATTAATACAGTAGGTATATCTGTGCCCAATTATAACTGTGCTCAACGTTCAAAAGTACTATAAACGGACGCTAAATTAATTATTATTATTATACAAAAAAAAAGAAAAAGAATACATTATTCACCTTAAAACAATGCAAAAAGTGATCTCTTAAAAGTAGGCACACCGCAGTTAAAAAAATCACAATCAGAACATATTTCGTTGTAATACCCACACATCCTATACAGGGGGTTATACATTATATTGTGATACACTATTTTTTGTAAGGGGTATAGTGAATAATCATTGATTACGCATAAACCGAGTCGGAATTCTAAACAGCAACATCTCTAGTAAGCCACTGTCAGACAGTCCATTGGCAATCATCCACCTACGTTTTTCCAAATAAACCATAATGAAAGTAGCTAAAGCGGTAATCATACTTTCGTATTGTTTTACATATAACATATTTCGCAGGCAAAGTTTGTAGGAATCTGCGCTGAATAGCTTCTATCCTATCTACGTGGCTGGTATGTACAGGAGACCAAACCGACGAGCAATACTCCAAGACATTTCTGACTAGGGCTCCATACAAGATGATCCACGATTTTACATTTTGAAATGGTTTGGCGTGTCGAAGTACAAAGAACAGCATTTTATTTGCCTTACTGCAAACATGGTCGTAATGTGGGCGAAATGTTAGAAAAGAGTCAAAATACACTTCTAAGTCACGAACAGTCTGGTCTCGGGTAAGAGTAGACCCATGTATGTTATAGTTGAGGCGCAAAGGGTTCCTATTTTTCGTAAATAGTATCACCTGACACTTACCAACATTGATTGACATATGTCTGACGATACACCAATTGGCAATAATATTATCAAATTTTTTTTTTGTAGTGCTCCGCAATCTTCAATTCTTACAACTCGCTCATAAATCTTAATGTCGTCGGCGAATGCAAGACATTCGTACTGAATGGTATTGAGGAGATCATTAATAAAAATCAGGATCAGAAGCGGTCCCAAATTTAAACCTTGCGGAATCCCTGAACTCGAGATAAACGAGAAAGAATCATAACCACTTAGCGACACGAGTTGGGAACGATTAAGGAGGTATGAGGTGAGCCAACGTAGCAGATTTCCGTGAATACCCATGTGACTTGCCTTTGCCAGCAATATAGAGTGATTCACACGATCGAATGCTTTGGTAAAGTCAATGTATATAGCGTCAACTTGCGTCCTGTTGTTAATAGAGTCACACAAAAATTGCCGTGCTGCTTCTGACTAAGAATAGGGCTAACATGGTTATAAAGATGCTAATAAAGAACTGACTCATAAAACTTTGCAAACCAGCTCAAAATGCTGATTGGACGGTAGTAGCAGACATTGTTCTTATCACCCGATTTATATATTGGCGTAATCTTAACTACTTGCCATAAGGATGGAAACGTTCCCTCACTGAGTAATTTGTTATAAATTAAACTTAATGGTTCAACCAAAGCTAAAGCAGTTATACGGATGAATTTTGGAATACAATCCGGCGCCTTTGGATAACACAACATTCTCTAGCAAAGCTAACACAGACTCCCTTTGCATCTCTAATTTACTCAGAGAGTAATTATGGCCGGGATAATCAGGGGTGTATGCTAGTGTCGTCCTCATTTCGTAGACAAGTGAGAAGAATTCACCGAAGGGATTCACTATATCGCCACCTGTGGTAGCCACACGGTCGTGGAGATACATACGATTCGACATAGTATTAGTAACTCGCGTGCTCTTCGTCTACCAACAAAAGGATCTCAAATTACTTGATAAGTCTTTTTCAACATTAGAAACGTAAAGTTTAAAACAGCTTTGCAGTAAGGACTTCACACACAAGCGTAGCGTAAAGAAAGTATCATAATCTCCAGGATTTTCAAAACGTTTATATAGGCGATGGTGTTTGAGCTTTTGTTTAAGAAGCCTAATTATGCTAGGTGAAAACCATGTAAGATAGTCCGAACTACGGGCTTGCATTTTTGGTGTATATTGATTAATAACGTCATACAGTTGGATAAAAATAATTGAACAAAATCGTTGCAATCGAGCAAGCCAGCATAATGAGACCAATCCTGAAGCTTAGATGTGCAACTTTGGAAATTCCTTTTGTGAAAGCAAAATCTATTACAATTATTGTTAGAGCGCAGTAGAGATTCATTGCTATGACAATCAACCTCAAAGGGAGAATGGTGCGAGTCAATACGGCCCATAGGGACAGCACGTCATAACGTGAATGTATCAGGACTATTGGTGATTACCAAATCCAACAATCTATTGTTATATTTATAATATGATTGAACTGGGATACATTAATTGAATGGAATAATTTATAGAGAAGTTCAGATTTTTGGCAACTTCCATTCAATGGCGCATTTGTATCCCTTGACCAGATGACGTCGCAAAAATTAAAATCACCCATAATACACGTGATTTGCTTAGTTAGTTTGAAGACATCATACAAGCACAACGATTCACAAAACTCGAAAAGTCTGTACTAATAAATAGCCAGGAAGATTTTTCCGGAAAAATTTCCATTTTTTGAATTTTTTTCGGAAAATTACCCAACAGCCCTATATGTAGGAAAACTGTCAGACAAACGTCAAACGCGTCGCCTTTGTCATTTGCAGTCATTTGGAATGACAAGCGATCACAGTTTTTGTGATATGAGATTGTAGTATCTCATATTAGTTTGTGATGAGATTTAAGAACCATAAAAAAGCTTACAAATCTATTCCATATTTTTCAAGTAAAATATACCTATTTAATAACAAAATATGCTTTGAAAAAGTGATAAAAACGAATGCTTAGATTTTGATTTTGGGCCGATATTTTTCGGCCGTGAAACAAATTTTTAGGATGTTTATTGTTTATATTGCTGTTCAGCCTATGAGTGGATCATACGTGGACGTGTTATGCGTGCCATAAGTGGCTGTAATGTGATTTTTTTAATGAAAACTTTTTGATAAATAGCACACAAATTTTGCGGCAGCAATGAGGGTGAATTTACGGAAATTATTTCTAATTGGCTCTTTTGCGGCGATTTTGTGGATAATAGTATCTTACATGTCGACTCTGGAGTCGCCGGAGCCGGTGAAGAAGTTTAACAAAGTGGTGATGATTGAAAATACGTTAAATTTACTAGAGGAGCGTGTTGACATGCAACTGAAAGAGAGTAACAAGTTGTTGGATAGGGTTAAGCAACATTTGAAGAAGACTGAGTACTTAGCCAAAGAAAGGGATGCCAAGGATCAAATGGACGCTGACAGTAAGTATTATTGCAGTACAGTATTATTAGATCTTTTTGTTATACCGTCCAGACTGTGCATTATCAAGACAATTATATTCTATTGTAAGAAACAAGTGTTCTCTTAGAGCATATTACACCCCTCATGGAATAATAGCATGAGTGGAGTTACCTACGTCAAACATGTTTATTGCTCTATTAGATACAGAAAAATATAACCGACAACCTCTCCAATTCTTCTAACACTATCTACAATTAGTTGATAGAGTTATAATAATTGGAGAGGATGTGGGTTATATTTTTCTGTATCTAAAGGAGCAATAAATGTTTTTGACCTAACTCCACACATTCTTCCATGAGGGGTGCGACATAGAGATTGAAGGTCACCTTGCTGTCTAAATACTGGTATGAGGTTTTGAGTGAACCGTTTCAAGTTAATTAAGGAATAATAAATATACATAATATGTTGTGTAGGAATTTAGAATATATAACATGTTTGTTGCAAACTCTTTAATATTTTGTATATATGGCTGTTTGTTTATGATTTGATGAGATCTTGTTTTTTGTTATTTTTTTCACTTTCTGTGAATTGGACATTAAAATATTGAAATTACGAATAATTTCTATATTTTGCAGTCCACACAGGTTTTGTATTCATCAGTACTGGGATAAGGTGAGGGGGACCCTTCTGCAGAGAAACAAAAGTAAAGAATTCGAATTGGCTTAAGGCAAATCACTAGGGGAGAAGCGGAAAAAACGAAATGGCCAGATCAATTGGTTTAGGCAGTTACTACTAAATAATGATCTTTAAAAAAATATATGATATACCCAAGGATATTGTCTAAAGAACTTGCTAATTTGTAACACGAAAGAATGTACTTTACCTGATCATATAAAATCTTTAAAACAGGCTGAAATAAAAGTGTAAAACAAATTATTTATGAATAGAATACCTAACTTTGCATATAATTTTTATATGGAGATATTTCTCTTTAAGTACAACAGAGAACCTACTAAATTTTGGTTTTCAACTGAAGCCCAGAAGTTGATAAATTCACATTTGTCCCAAAATGTGAAAATTGCTCAGTGGTTTAATGACACGCCGCACTGCCCGTTGCGCTGTCAGTCCCAATTGGGCACTTGTCGATGTCGGATCTGTGTGATTCTTATTTTATTAATCTTAATTTGTTATGGGACGCGTAGGGCGGCTGTGCGGGGGCACCTCGTAAAATGTAGGTTCGCATTGAAATACCGCGCCTTAAATCGTTCTGGGTGCTGGATCCTAACACCAAGCCCATTATGTGTGATAAATTTTGATTCATTCCACTAATCCCCCAAGTGGGAATTATACATTTTATTCCATAAAATACATCAACCTCTTTCGTTTTTTTAAATTTAGCCATTTTTTTAAATCACTTCCGTTAGTCATTTTTGGAAACTGATGTTTGACCACCAATGTTCATTTTGTTTATCATGAACTATTGATTAAGAGACTCCCCGGCATGTTGCACTCCATTCTTTTCAGTCCTCACTATCTAGAATACTTGAAATGTACATTTCAGTACCTCTGTGACTCATGACCGTGGCCTTTGATCCATTAACTCTTTCACTCTCTATACCTCTATAATCATCATCATCTTCTGTTTATTGTACATAAATATATAAATAGGTGTATAGGTATTATGTATATAGATATGTGTATATTAGGTTTGTTGGTTATATATATATCATTATATATTTATTGCATGTGCGTTATTATACTTTATTAATTTAATATTTTGTTTAATTTGCCATATTCGTGAATATCGTTTTCCTCAAACATTGACTGGTAGAGAATGCTTTTAGCATTAACTCCGCCTTTTGTACCATTATGTGTTGTGGCCAATAAAGTTTAATAAATAAATAAATTGCGTCATTCCAGCGAAAATGACACTGCGGTTCAAAAAAATTAATTACACAATTTGGTTTTAATTGTATGATTAGAATACGCCCAACAAATCAAATCATTAGAAATAAATGAGATTTTTCGGATATTGTACAATTATTGTATTTTTTGCCTTCATTACGCAGCCGTAGTGCTGTCATCTACAGTGAAGCATTTTTTCTTACAATGTTAACAACAATTTTCGCGGTTATTTGTGCGTCTTTCTAAAAAAGTTATTACTGTCGAAGAAAATACAATTTATGAATTTTAAAATAGTGATAAGTATTTTATGGAAGTATTATATGGTGAGGAGTTATTAAAGTTTCAATAAATATTAGGGGTTAAAGTATGAAATTGCCGTTTTATTGCAATAGGTTCTTTGAATTTTCATAGAATCTTCATGGTTTGAGGTTTTCGAATGAAACTTTTTTCAAATGGTTTCTGTGATTTTTTTTTTAAATTTGAAACATTTGAATATCGACTTTCAATTGTTTTTGTTATTCAATTTAGACAAGAAAGATGGATACTGCGAAAATTCGAGTGATTTTTGAATACGAGTTCCGACGCGGAACTAACGCGGCAGAAACAGCCCGCAATATCAATGCTGCGTTTGGAGAGGGGTCTACTAATGAACGCACCGTGCGATTTTGGTTTAAACGCTTTCGTGATGAAAATTTCGACTTAAAGAACGAGCCACGAGGAAGACCGCCCACACAGGTGAATAACGATGAATTAAGAGAGATAGTGGAAGCCGATCCTAGTCAAACTACCCAGGAATTAGCGGCATGGTTTAACGTTACCTTACCCACAATATTGACTCACTTGCGTCAAATCAATAAAATAAAAAAATACGAAAAATGGGTGCCTCATGATTTGACTGATCTGCAGAAAGAAACGCGTGTTGAAACTTGTGTTGCCTTGTTGAACCGGTACAGAAATGAAGGAATATTGGATCGAATTGTAACATGTGATGAAAAGTGGATTCTTTATGATAACCGGAAAAGAAAAATGCAATGGCTGACCCCAGGTCAAATGCCACAACAGTGTCCTAAAGCAAAACTTACCAATAAAAAGGTAATGGTAACTGTTTGGTGGTCTCAGCATGGTGTTATTCACTATAGTTTTCTCCGATCTGGTCAAGCAATAACGGCAGATGTCTATTGTGCCGAACTCCGAACCATGTTGACAAAACTAGCAGTAAAACAGCCCCGACTCATGAATCGATCTTCGCCATTATTCCTCCACGACAACGCGAGACCTCACACAGCACGAGAAACCATTTTGACCCTTCAGGAACTGCAGTTAGAAACCATTCGTCATCCTCCGTATTCACCAGACCTTGCTCCAACGGACTACCATTTTTTTCGTGATTTGGACAATTATCTACGTGACAAGAAGTTTTCTTCCCAGGAGGCAGTACAAAATGCTTTCACACAGTTTGTGCAGTCTAGATCGTCGGAGTTCTATCGCAAAGGCATTAATAACCTTCCCATTAGATGGCAGCAATGTATAGATAATAATGGCAACTATTTTGATTAAATAAATTTGTTAAAAATTTAAAAAATAAACAATTTAGATTTTCAGTACAAATCGGCAATTTCATACTTTAACCCCTATTACTAATTTCAAGTCCCACCAATCACAATGAAACATATATATTTTTATTTTAACCAATAAATATGCAATCTATTGGCATTTACTTTTGCAAAAGTAACAATTATGCTAAGGGTCAATATTTTGGCTTGGTTGGTCATTGTGAATGTAAATAGGAATGTAAATATTAAAATTTGAAAGTGTGTCCCACCCGTCACAGCGATAGGTGGGACACACTTTCAAAACACTGAAAAGTTTTTAGTATAAATAATGTCATAAATTTATGTAAATAAATATATATAAATAGTTGAATTTTTTTTATAATAATAATGCACACACTCAACATAGTCCCACACTAGGGAAACCCTAGGTCGCGGGTGCCATGGACACACACATAGATAACCACAAATTACACCCAAACTTATTATATTTCATTTTAAAGAGGAATTAATTTATACCACGGCCATTTACATATAATAAACTACTTCCAGGCTATTGATTAGTGTCATGTAGAAGATACAAGACAGAATTTTGACCTATTTCAGAATTACGATCTGTAGTATAGAGATAAGCAATTCTCTTGCTGGTCCATGGTAATATTAATATCAGCTCATGTAATTCTAAAAAATTAGAGAAGCTGATGTTAACATTACACTTTGTTACAGCATAATTGGGCCATTGCAAAGTGACGGGTGGAACATTTTGACTCCTCCTTGAACTTTATGTAATTTCTCCCTAACCATTGGTTAATTAGACTTCAAATGAAAATATCATGAAGCCAGATAAGCAATTAACAATCAACTAAAAATCAACTGCCTCTGTGGGCGAACGGTTACCATGCCGGACTGCCACGCAGAGGCCCCAGGTTCGATTCTCGGGCCGGGAGAAATATTTGTATGGCCTACATTTATTTCTCTCGTGAGTTTAGGTGTAATTTGTCGTTGTCTATGTGTGTGTCCATGGCACCCGCGACACAGGGTTTCCCTAGTGCGGGGCTATGTTGAGTGTGTGCGTTATTATTATTATTATTATTATATATCGTCATCACCACCATCAACATCATCATCATGATCATCATCATCATGATCACCATTATCATCAGTATCATTACCATTCACATCATCATCACAATCATCGTCATCATCACTACAATCATCATCGTCATCATCACCACCATCATCATCGTCACCACCGTCATCACCACCACTATCACCATCTAATTGTTATATTTCAAGCAAATATTTGGTTTAAAGTAACTATTTGACTTAAAAGTACACGAGAGCGACAATAATATTTGGATACATTTTTAATTGTCAAGTGTGTAAAATATGCTGGACCGTTATAAAAGTGCATGGATTTTAAAGTTCCCTTTGTCTGATTGATGTACAAAAAGTTTATAAAACTATTACTTAATACTTATTTAGATAGATTGCTTTATATGAATGAGAACGATTTAATCACTAGCGCAGAAATTGGTATTTAAGTCGATTTTTTTGCTAAAACGGAGATGCACAGGTTACTTCACTGTGTACACTCCAATCCGACAGGAGCCCCTTCTCACGTGTGCGAAGGGTGAAGGAGATGCGATATGAACTTTTGATATTAGGAGGCTTTTAGTTGAGATGACACTAATGATAAGAAAAATTGAAACACATTTTGTATTCCCAAGAAAACATGTTTGTTTATAGTAAATTGGAAAGTTACTTTATGTATTCGACGTGAAAGTTATTAGAGTTTAACCTCGATGGGAAATATTGCGATTTCCACGAGTGTTTAATTTTTATTCTTCTTTTCTTAAAATTAGGGCGACGTGGAACCGGCTCCCATGAATGAGAAATTGGTCACTTTTTAATTTTTATTTATTACTGTGACGTAGTAAAGTAGTCTTTTTATGTGTAACACAGACTAAGTAAGCAAGCAATCATATTAAACAAATAATGCTTAGCATTCATGTAATAACATAAAAGTTATTGAAAGGGACACATTTTTGGAGGTTATCGGAAAACGACCATAGTTAGTTATTTACACATTTGAACTGTGTCACGACGCATTATATGAAATCAAAGTTATCCTTGGACATTACCGTGATGTTTTCCTTGACCGTTGTAGCTCCATAGGTCCGACGCCCATTGACGGGACGCCATAGCAAGGGTGCCTTCGGCATTCCTACATTCTTAGGTATGACGTGGCATCCTTAAGCATGCCGTGCCTACCTTCATTCGCTCCGGAGACCCGCAGTCGCACTCAGCGTCCTGAAGTTTGCCGAATTATCCCGAAGGCTGCCGAGGTATTCCGGAGGTTGCCGGCTCGTTATTCCAGCTTCGTTTTCGTCGTTACGAACATAATCATTACAATTTTCACTGTAATATCATACTATTACTAAAATCCATTGGCGTGCCATCCCTTCAGTGAGCTGTGGGCCTTAATGGCTGCTACAGCGTGACTATGTCTGAGTGAGATTGAGAGGTGGCTTGCTGTATGTTTTGTTTCCGTTCAGCAGTGCGGTGATCTGGTGCTCGAAGACATCTCCATAAAATCAAGGGTTCTAGAAATTCCTTTAGCGGAAGCAAAAGTTCACTGAACGGAGAGTTCTCTCTTTTTCTATAATATCTTGATTTTGAAATATTTAAAATGTAAAACAACAACGACGATTATAACTCAAGTTACATTGTATGGATGTGAATACAGTGTGTAAAGATGTGTAATCTTGGACTTCGTAATCACATATGGTTTTATGAGCGTACAACTCATTACGTAATAAATACTGTTTAAGTCCATTATACTTTTACAATGATTATAAGCAAACACAATTATACTCAGACTAAGTACTGTTACAAGATCACGATGTTACAGGAATTAAAACGAGTCAGAAATCAAAAAGTCTGAATTGCGGGAATAATTTGGAGCAGATAGAGCAGAAGTGAATAGGCTCGACTTTGCTTTAATAAATAGAGGGTTGAAAATTAAATACGACAAGGTTTACAACATATGTGTGAATAAAGGTGACATACTCGCCGAGAACTTAGCGAAAGTGTGCGCTGAGCTATGAGTACGGAAATTAAACCCAATGCTACTCAGAACACCCAGACATGGAACCTCCCTGACCTCGTCCTCAACGAGATTATCCTTAGTGAGCAGAGAATAAATGGCTTTATTTAGTTTCAGCCTTCAACCCAGTCCTGCCAGTGTTAGTGATAGCGTGCGACAGGGTGTCAGTCCATCGATGTTTAGAGAACCTTGTAAGGTTCAGACCCAGTAAGAAAACCTTCCCTATTATTATTAGCCAGGTGAGATGGGTTCAATCTATTTAATCTGAAACGTGTCATCTTTTTCGTCAATAATATCTGCAGGCTTAGCATTGTCCACAAAGACAATTAATATGTTTTTTTGAAATCTATTAATTTCCTTTAAAATTTACGTCATGCTACTTATGTGTACAGGTGTGTCCATCGTGCACATTTATAATGTTGAACCACCATAGTTAAAGATAACAATTTCTCGATCATATATCATATCACAATGAGTTTTAATATCTGCGCCATTGCTAAGCCTGGGTGAGCTTAACCGTGTACCGTTGGAGTCGATTTAATCGATGTAATTTGAGACTCAGCGCCATATTATGTCGATAGCAATTATCGCTCGGAATTCATTTTCAACGTCAGGCGGTTATCGGTGTCATGTCTGTTTTATGTCATTCAATTTGTTTAAAAATGAAGGTGTTATTTTCGCGTGGAGATGTATGGTTTATGAAATTCATTTACAAACTTAAGTAGTCTTTTTAGGTCCGTCTAGATTAAAGGCATGTAGAAAAAAATAGAATCCGATTTTATTTCTAATTAAATTTCATATACAACCCTTTTTGAAGACAAGACATTAAAAATGGTTTAATATTCTTAAGTACATGTGTTGTAATGTGTTAACATTTCTTTTAATAATAAACACACAGTACAGTTTTGTTACTGTTTAGCGGATGTATCTTTGTTTAAAAGTAAACACTTGAAAAAGCTTTCGACAGGGTGATTGCTAGTTTTAATACAGACAACATGTTGAAAAGATGTTTAAAAACTCTAATAGGCACAGAATTTAATTACTGTAAATGTAACAGACCATTTATATTTACTCTCTTCTATGAGTACAAAAAGTTGCTGAACCTAGAAATAATTTCAGCATTTATAAGTGTCCCCCAGGAGTCAATATTTTGACCTAAACTTTATATCACTTCCAGGACTGCGGTCATAATGCAACATATCATGTAATCAAACGCTTTGTGGATGAAGATTCATCTATAACATTAGTTAGACAGCCAGATCTTACAGATATTAAGTTACCTCGCACGAAGTTGAAGTTCAATGGATATTATAAGATCGCGAGGCATTTCCGATTTGCGCTCAATCATGTCTTCAAGACTTTAAACCATGAGGCTGTGATAATTGTTGAAGGTAAGTAAGTTTTTTGCTTATGGTATACTTTTAGCCGATTGGGAGGCTTGTTTTCAGTCGTGCCTTTTATATGTATATTCCAGTAACAAATCTAAAAATTGGGTTGTGTATGAGTGCGTGATATGTATGTATAACGTGACACCTATACAATTATCGACCTTTCTTTACATTATGGCCTAAATTTATTTCATGTTTCTGTCTAATTATAAAGACGTTTCACGTTAAAACCTGAAAAGTACTGGAGTACCTTTTAATGGTCATCACTAAGTTTGACGAGGAAAAATGATCACAAACTCTTCGAACTCTTCGTAGGTCTCCCAAATCTCATTGGGTCAACCAGATGTTCTAAAAAGAAGTCGGTAGAACATTACCCATCTCTGATATTTTGACACAGTTCATTTGTTCACAGATGATCTGGATATATCGCCGGACTTTTTCGAATACTTTTTAGGGACATATCCTTTGTTACTCAAGGATCCTAGTATATGGTATGTATATTTAGTCATAGATTGAACTATACAAATTGTTCATCACGACACTTAATTCTTTTTTGTGAAATTATTCCACTTGTTATAATTATTAATACAAAGATCGAACACTAAGAAAAATTCCTTCAGATCAAGCTGGATTCAAACAAGAAGGAATTTTCGTTAGTGCTCTATCTTGGTATTAATAATGATAAAAATTGTCGTTTTTTTTTCGAAACTGCAAATTAGCAACGCTATTTAAATGACTTCAGGTACAATTTAAAAAAAACAGGTCGCGCGTCTTCTGGAAAATTCTCGTGCTGTCTCGGGAATTCCCTCGTCTACCGTATTCGGACCTAACGTGCACTTTACACAATTGACACAAAGTTCATTTAACTATGTACAATTTCGTTATAAAAATACGTTTCCATCCCGTAACGCGGTAATATAGATTGAGTCTTAGTTTAAACCGGAAACAGTGTAATATTAAAAATTTCTAGCGGTACATGCGTCAACGTTCTGATATACGTTTCTTCGACTTAATATAGTTATTTTCATCTTTCAGTGATTGTTTAAATGTTTTAGTAGCTATTGATTGATTTTGACAGATAGGTGTAAATATGCAACTGCCTTCTTAAAATGAAAAAGGGTAAATTTGGAACCACATTATTTTAAAGAAACACAGAGAGCGGCTGCCGGTCGAGTGCGGGTCGGGAGCGCTTTCGGAGTATGGTCGTACATATAAATACACGGAATTAGACCCGCCGCGCCTCCGACCCGACCAAGTGAAATTATATTTACATTTAAATTCAAACGGGCGCTACAGAATCAACACTTAGAAATATTTACTTGTTTCTTATCTTTCTAGGTGCATCTCAGCATGGAATGACAATGGGAAGAAAGACATAATAGACCTATCCAGACCAGAACTGTTGCACCGCACTGATTTCTTCCCAGGCTTAGGGTGGCTATTGAGACAGGAGAGTTGGGAGTATTTAGAGCCTAATTGGCCACCTGCGTGAGTATTTCAATGATACTCATTTAATATAACGTAGAATGTAAAGCTGTTGTACTAGAAACTATTTTATTTATTTATCTATGTATTTGGGCTACCAACAGCTGAGGCTTTTCCTTACATTGATTTGTGGGTTTGAATTTACTCCACAGCTAAATTACTGGTAGACAACTCATGCAAAAAATGGCAGAGAAGCCTTTTTAAGTAACTATTTAGTATTATTCAGTAGCAGTAGAGCTCCTCGAGAATGAGTACATCCAGGGTAGTACAGGCTAGTACACCTTACCTATTTCTGTCGCCAAGCAGCACTATGTCAGCATTACTGTGTTCCGGTTTTGAAGGGTAAGGGTGCTGGTGAAATTATGGGCACATGGGACTTGTCAACTTATGTCTTAAGGTGACGGGCACAGAGGCAGTAGCGCCCTTCCGATCTTTGCGATTTAAAGCTCTGGGTGGCACTGCAACCTTTACGGATAGACGTGTAGCTTACCATCAGGCGCACGACTCGTTCGTCCCGTCACTTAATATTATAAAAAAAAATCACAACTAAATAACTATTAATTCATTTAAGAAAAGCTGTATATGAGTAGAGTATGTGTAAAATTATATTTGATGTATTTTGAAACATCCTGTTTAAATATATAAATAGCTTGACTAAGAAACGCTTCCAGGATAGCCTTAGATAGATTGTTTTTCCTGGATAGCGTTCATTAAACTTCTGAAACTGACCGATTCCTATACTAAGGGGTTAAAATATTTTTAGGTGCAATCTATTGGCACAATTATTAACTACGTAGTCGAGCTGTTACCGAGCCGCCAAAAGAGTACTTTATATTTACAGCCTATATCGATACTTGCATCACTTAGATTATCTATAATTTTTACAAGTGATATTAAATTACGACATAAAGTTTAAAAAGACTTGTTTCTTGACGAGCAATTTATGATTTTATTTTTTATACCGTCTTATCGAAATCTTTATGGTAAAAATAAATTAAAATATATAATACCTTACCTAATAAACGAAATTCCTAAAGAAATAAAAATATCGTTAAATTGTAAAAACATCAAACTTAATTAAAAAATTACTTTTTAGAAAAAAATAAAATTAATTCGTGATTGTAATATATAATAATTATAACCTTCTAATTTTAACTAACAACATACATAGGTATTACTTACTTACTTTAAATGTATTATTAAAATACTGTTCACGACCATTTTATTGATAGAGGAATGTCAACACGCAGCAGTACGAACGCACCAGTGTTGGGCAAAATTTAATTGTTCTGGCAATTAAAGACTGACAATTGATTAATTGTCAATTGCGAAATAGCAATTAACGATTGATCAATTGTTACTTGCGGTTCTCGCAACTAATAATTGATCAATCGTTAATCGCAAATATCTACAATTAACAATTAATCAATTTTCAATCTTTTCAATGTTTTTGATTAACAATTAACAATTAAAACTGACAATTATGATAAATTTATAAGGCATATGGGGGTGAGTTAGGGCGTTGGTTGTGGGGGCCTGCTGGGGGCAGGTTGGGGTCCCCGCTTGGGTGCCTCGGTTGGGGTCCCCGGTTGGGGGCCCCGATTGGGAACCCCGCTTGGGGGCCCCGGCTGGAGGCCCAGTTGGGGCCCTAGCGGCCCCTTAACCTGCCCCCAGCAGGCCCCCACCCAACCGGGGCCCCTAACAGGCCGGAATTGATTTTAATTGCAAATTTAATTGCAATTAAAATAAATTCAATTGAAATCAATTGCAATTAAAATCAATTGCAATGTCGCAATTGATTTAATTGCAATTGATTTCAATTGAATTGATTTTTTAATCTGATTGAATTATTGATTGAAATTTAATTGATTAACACCCAACACTGGAACGCACACACTACACATAGAAATTATTTGTACGACGAATGAGCGGTATACGAAAAAAGTACTTAGTTAAGTTTATGTTATACTGGAATGTTTTTTTTAGTGCTTTAAATGTAATAAATATATTATAAAATATATTAAAATAGCTAACCAATTTCCTTAGTATATTCGTGATACGTAATCTAGTACATTTGGACGATTAATTATTGCAGTAATATTACGATCGTAGATAAGAAGATTTTTTTTATTTTTTTTTATTGTGACTCGTCAAAATGACTGCACCGCGCCTGATGGAAAGTGCGAATACAGTCCAGAGATGAGAGTAACGGATGGAAAACACAAATATCTTCACTCCGTCACTATCATTTTGCCGGTCTGGCCAAATGCTTCTTCACACTACGTTTGAAGGACCCGATGTTATAGAGGGGAGGGTATACATGCGCCGGGAGTTGGTTCCACAATTTGATGGTTCGGCATAAAAACGAATTGCCAAACTTTTTAGTTTTTATAAAATGTGCGAGGCCAAACTTAAGACACAAAAGAGATTGTTTAAAAAATATATAACTGAAGCAATAAAATGTCGAGTCAAGATACTATACTACCAATCAGACTGTAATTCACATTAAATGTATGATGTTATAGTAGATCTTATACGTCCAATGAGTGTGTAAATATTGCAACTCCAGTATTTTTACAGTTAGTGTTTGGTGTTTTTTTACCAAAAAAATACACATTTTAAAATTAAGTTATAAAGAAACCTATAGTCCCCTAAATATACATTAAATAAAACAAAAAGTAGGTAAACAGACAATCTGATAGACAATATACAACTTCAAGTTATGAATAGATGTAGCCACAGACATATAGATATAACATATACAACACAACAAACTCGCGCACAGGAACAACGAAACAGAATTAACATATTCAGCAATGTGCTTATTTCGTATTCCGAAATCCATAATTGTTCGAAAATTTCCAAATGGTGAGAAATTTCAAAAATGTTTTTCCAAATATATTTTTTTGGGTGTTTTTTTCTTGAAAACATTAGAACAATATATTATAGAAATATATACGTCATGTTTTCCGTCATCGAAAAGCGTGGTCATTTTCGCACATTAATTCCGAAAAACTCAAAAGTGCGAGCGCGGATTCGAACCCAAGGTCTCTGCCGCACGTCGAAGAAGTTTCACAACCCTCGGAAAAAGTGTGAAGTCCCCCAACCCGCATTGGGCCAACGTGGCGGACTGGCCTAAAACCCGCGCTTGGGAGGAGATCCGTGCCCAGCAGTGGAACGTAAATGAATAACTCAATTACTTGAGTTACTCAACCACGATGATGACGATGCTTTTACTTAAAAATTAGGTTTTTTACAGGGGATTTTTTTCGCTTGATCCAGCTCTATTCACAGTAGACATCTGAATATTACCATCTAAAAAAATTCACGATTATGAAATTGATAGAGTTGTGAAAATATCATATGAACATGATATGAATATTTTTCGCAGATTCTTCGATGACTGGTTGAGAAACCCTCAAAACACTAGAGGCAGATCTTGTATCAGACCGGAGATCTCCAGAACCTACACCTTCGGAAAGGTAACGTTAATTACTACACAGTAACAGCACAATGCTGTATAACACAATAAAAAACTCACCTACATAATCCAAGAATAAATTGGAACAGTACTTTGAAGATATTAAGTTCTCTCATATTAAGTTGGTTGTGCAGTGTGAATTGGAGGAATTTCTAAATTGTATCGACTACGCACACGTGCCATTGAAATTCCAAGAAATTGCAACACATAACCTTTTTTCGGCACATAGTAAAAGTGATTATTATGAACAAGAACAATAATCAAGAATTTTAATCTTTCTTAGAAATGGTACCAATATTTTTGGCGCCTAGTTTTATTAAAGTATTATACCATTTTGGAATCTTGGTTAGTTGCGTCAATTTTTAAAAAAACTTGCCGCAGTGGTGTCCATACTTTTTTTTTTACAAAACGATGAGGGAAAGTCGACTGAAGGTAAAAATATTTCAAAATTTTAAGGAAAAAAAATATTTTGATGGATTTGTGTAAAACTGCAGGCATTCTAGGGTTTTTAAGAGTTGTGGTAGACAGCAGTACTACTTAGGTGGCCGTTAAAATTAAAACATCAGAAATATCTGAAAAAATGTGGTCGTGGTGATTCAAAATATCATTAAGGGAGTAAATTTTCGAAGAATAACAATTTTTTTATCGTAATTGAAAAAAAAATGAGATAGATTTTTTTTCTTATTTTTCCTCAAGTAGTTATGCGCAGGTCCACCCTCCTGCGCCCGCTTATCGTTGAATTTTGGGACACGCTGTATAGTGAAACAGGAAGATTCTTAGATAGTATCTTTAATCGTCGAATAAAAATACTATCTAAGATTGTTCCTATGTAAATAGAAGTGAATTAATAATGAAATTACAATACACGGATCTTATGCCTATTCATATATAATATTAAATTATGCAGTCAAAAGCGTAACTTTGCGATTTCGACTCAAGGGCCCTGGCAACACTGTTGTGTAACCTGTTATTTGCGATTCAATCGGGGATAATGGATGGCTATTCGCGATTCACGCAATGAATTCAAATCTGCTACTGTTATAAAGCTATTGTAGCCATTAACCAATAAACAAAACAATATGGGTGTTTTCGGCACCAGCTGTATTTAAATTGATTGATATTAACTGCCTGTAGATATCGAATATTAAAATCGACATTATACAATTGCATAAAGCACAAAATCGTAGTTTGGAATATGTAACTTATAACAATAAAATAATAGATAACAATTAAATATAAAATGATAATAAGAACTTTATGTTGAGCATTGAAAGATTATAATCACAAGATTTGCAAATAGTAGCATATTCCAATCATTTCATTAGCGTCATTTCTCTATCACTGAATATTGGATGACGCAATCGCAACAGCAGAATAGACATATTTATTCAAACATTATCTGCTGCAGTAATAATGACCACTTTGTTGTTTCTTAATTTTAGTTTTTCCTATGCTCAGTAGATAAAGACGTTGACCATAGAAGGGCAGTGGATTATAACCCATTCAGCCTGTTCAGGTTTTAACTGAGTTTTTACTAAATGCGCCTAAGTTTAACCCGTTTCTGCCCAAAATCGTTAAAAGAAACAATCCCACACAATATACTCGCGATCCTGTGGACTCTCACTTATTAGCATTAGCTACTAATAAAAAAAATAAGATTCTTGTTCCTTAATATTTATTGGACATGAACAAATACATAACACAAAAAAAAAGACAAAAAGCTAGGACAACAGACCTCCCTGCATTTTTAATATGAATTTTAATTACAAATCCATCGACATCAAACGTGTTTTCGTCAATAGACACAGTACAACTCACTTTGATACATTTAACTGTAGCATGATAAATTTATAAAACAAAGATACTTGTTAAGTTTTATGCATTTATCTAATCGTTTATAGCTTCATTATCATTGCCAATATAGCCCACTTTGAGAATCATCGCTCTAGATTATTTATACAATTTTTTTTGACTTCACTATTATACTAATAATGTATTTTACAGGTGGGGGTTAGCAAAGGCCTTTTCTTCGACATGCATCTTCGGCACATGCAGCTCAACATGGAGTATGTGGAGTTCACAAAGATGAACCTTTCTTATTTGATTAAGGTAAGCTAGAAGAAATATATAAAATATAACTTTGTTTAAAGTGAAAACCTCGCATACGGTGCCTCGGCGCTGACGCTGCATTGCACTACATATAAATTACAGGCCTACCGCTTGACTGAGTCGGTTCCTGACGTAGCTGCGCGGTGCGGGAGTACTGTTGGGTAATTTTCCGAAAAATTTCAAATGGGTAATTTTCTGGAGAAAAAACTTCTCAAAATAGGAAAAACTTGAAATATCGGAAAAATATAATTTCAAAGGCTTAAACAATGTTTCACGTTTAGAAATATATTTTGATGTTTTATTTAATGTGAATTATAAAATAAACTTGGATAACTAAATGCCACATTAAAAAAAAACTAGATTTAAAATGATTTCACAACAGTGAAAAAAACTTTTTTGAAGGCTCCAACGTTTTCGTTCGGTAACTTCAACTTTTGACAGGAGTCAACGTCAAATGTGGAAAATTAAACGAAAAATATTAGAAAAATATTTATTTTTCTGAAAAATAAAATATGATTTTTTTCAAAATGGAAATGTTTCTATGACTCAACACTAGAGAGGACTAGTTACGTAACGGTTATGGCGCGCTGCACACGAGATAATTTCAACAAGATGTTTCTGACGATATTCAAATAACAAGTTAACTGAAAAAGTGCCTACCAAATAAGTCACTTGTTATGTGAAACGATAAAAAAATTCATAGACAATTGAAATGAATAGACAAGCCATATGGTACTTTTTTTACTCAACTTGTTATTGAATGTCGTATCATACCTATGCGACGATGCAACCCGTGTAAATCGCTCTTAGACGATAAACGATTGGTTACAAATATCGCATAAATGCGATCTTACAATAGAGAGGCTTGGAAGAAACAGCTTCGACAAGAGCAGTGAAATCTAAAAGAGAAAACACTGAGTGATAAATGCTATTATAGGGATAATTAACTTTGTGTTGGCGCCTTATCGGTTCTTTATAAGTACTTTAGTGGTACGCCGATAAAACCGATATAATAGAAAAAAAAAGAAAGGAAGAAGATAAGCTGATATAATCCTAGAAAAAATTTCAAAATTGATCTGAAAAATCTGTCTTTTTGAGATAATACCCTGTTCATCGGGACCAGCGATACATTTTTTTAATTTATATTAATTTGCATTGGTAGACACGTTACATTAGGATATATAATTATAACTAAAATTTAAATTAATAATAAATTTTGAATACAAGTAAATAGTTAAAAAACCAACCATAAACCCGCCGATCACTATCGCCAAAAATCAAGCAATATAAATTTATGTTAATAAATTGTACCATTTCTGCCTAGGACGTCTACGACCCCGCGTTTAAACAACAAGCCTACAGTGCTTCTTTAAAGACAGCTGCAGAAGTAGTCTCATATTCTGGAGGCCCAGATGATAAGGCCCGCGTTACTTACAAGGATGCAAAATCTTTCCAGAAGGCTGCTAAAACCCTCGGTCTTATGGATGATTTTAGAGTAAGTAGCAACATACTTTAGAGGACGCGAGTGGTGTGTTTTCCACACAGAAGCTCTCGTCGGTTTCCTCCCTGGTTTTGTGATACGAGAGATACACTTATTAACATACAATGAAGAATCACCCATACTAGGCGTCTATGTTTTCCTTTTTTTGATAAGTTGTTTTTAAAGGGATAACATTATTTGATCCACAAAGATTTAATTTGCTCTAAATGTGCACTTTTAAAAAAAGGAAAACATAGGGTCGTACAGGCCTATCGCTTAACTGAGTCGATTCGTAAGGTACCTGCGCGGTGCACATGGGATAATTTCTAACAAGATTTTTCAGACGATATTCAATTGCAAGTTGATTGAAAAAAGTACCTACCATATTAGTCAATCGTTGTTATATGAAACGACAAAAAAAAATCATTTATAATTGTAATGAATAGACAAGCCATTTGGTATTTAAAAACCGGCTTCAAAAGTTTGCTTCTCCATTTTTGCTGTGTTTTATTTTCCTTGGAATTACATCTATGTGCAAAGTTTTATTGAAATCAGTTAACGGAGAGTGGGTGAAATTTAATAATCCGGATTCATTTCCTTATTTGCCATCCTTATAATGTGTAATATTTTCTTCAAATTTGGATGGGATCACTGCAGATATGGTATGTCTGTAGGGATCCCCCGGCGGTGCGACATATACGGATATATCGCACCGCTTCTTGCCCGTGGACCCAGGTGGTCTTGCTTCACCTAGGTGGCTAACGGGCAATTATTTCTTCCCGTGGTGTGAACCTTTTATGTATAAAATAGAAATACTCAAAACTTATATTGGTGGTGAGATTTAAGAGCTGGTAGCTGTAAAGGTATCTATCTAACTGGGTGACCAAATACTTTCGTAGATTTCTCATAGATGGCGCTACGGCTAAAAAGTCGTTGAAAAACTAAAATACAAAGATAGGTTACAAGCACATAGACAAATTCGTGAGGCTTGTTCGTTCCGTGTCAATAGCGTCTGGCACGGTATGCTAGAAGACGTAGGTTCGAATCCGGCAGAATCGTAGGAATTTTTCTGAGGGTTACCTATCAGTAGTCTTAAAGTGACATTTTCCAGAAACAACGTTTGCTCGAATTTTCATCACCTCGAAAGTAATTTTGAAAGGAAAATGTTTTTCTTTTAAACCTAACTTAACCTAACCTAACCAAACCTAATCGTGTCTTTGCGATAAACATTCTAACATATCCTGAAAGAGCAACGGTTTCGTTATAATTTGGTTTTCGGTGCAATGAAAATTCAAACAAACGTTATTTCGGAAAAAAATTCGAGTTTGCGATAGGTTACCTTTCCGTGTGTTCGATCTTTGTATTAATAATTATGACCACTTGTATTTCATATTAAAACGGAATTATTTGTTACCCACGCCATTTGCATAATATAATCTACTTCCAGGCTGTCGATCAGCGCCATCTAGCCATAACACGGGATTTTTACCTTTTTTGAGTTACGATCATTAGCAGTCCTTTTGTTAATTGGTCCAAGGTTCAACTAAATTTACTATAAGTGTATAAACTAATTTTAATTTTGTTTTTTCAGAGCGGTATTCCTCGTACAGCCTATCTGGGCATAGTGAATTGCTATATTCGAGGACGTCGCGTCTATCTTGTCCCCGAATTCGATTGGGTGAAATATGACCCAGCATGGGGCTAACATATGGCCACTCCCGTCAGGCGTAAGCTACGTGGACGGGATAGACAAAATAGACAAATTTGGCAGAACAGCCAAAATATTCTATTTAGGCGGTATATGCAGAATCTGCATCAGCAATTTTTGCAAAAGAAAAACGTTAAACGTGTTGTGGATTTACCAAATAGGAAAATTGGACAAATTGTGGAGTCGCCGAAAATAAGTAAATATCAAAAAATATTAGGCGGTATCAGTATTAAAGAGTTACGCGAGAATAAAAGAATAAAAGCGAAATTAAAAAATTAAAAACCAAAAACGAAGCACAGTGTACATATTGGTCGGCCAATAGTTAGAGTTTAATAATAATAAAATTAATTAATAACAAAGAATTTTGAATTTGCTTAATGTTTTGTTTTTGCACTATATACATGTAACGTGAATGTTATATTCAGTGCGATTGTGTGTAGGGTGTATTTTTCTGTACCCTGTATATTATGAAAGATGTAAAATTAACACATTTTTGTACACCCTTTATTTATGTAAAGATGGCTAGCTAAGTTCGCCATGTTGCGGAAGTTTTAAAAAAATGAATGTAAGACAAAAAGTAACCTGTCAACGTAATATGGACTAATGAAAATAATGATAGTGTTTGACAAGCCTAATCGTTATTCAAGGCGTCGATTTACACAAACTAAACTTAATTTAGTGCGTCTGTCGTTTTCGTTATCAGTAACAAAAGTATATTCATGGGCATACATATATAAAGGTTGAATTATAATAACAAAGTTCTTTGAATGGTATTCGTGGCCAGTGCCACGAGTACCAGAACGTTTAAAATCAACAGACTATTAAAGTCATTCTTTTTTCAAATTGAAACGTTCTGGTGTATGTGGCCAGTGGTTTATGTGAAGATAAAATAAAATAATAAAGATTGTTGTCACAATTCAACTTTTTTTTACAGTTCCTCTAAATAATATATCCATGAGTGGTATAGCGTGGGTAGTGCAGAGGGTGCCATCACAAAAGCACAGCAATGGCGGCGAGCCCTAACTAGTCAAATATTTTTTTTTACTAAAACATTATAAAATAACTTCCACTATTTTTACACTCATTTACCGCACATTTCGTCATTTTTAACTAAAACTCTTGAGCTGTTCGCGGTGCAAGTTGACCTTGAGCACTGAAGGCCCGCCCGCTCGTGTAGGCCCATTGGGAGCGCTTCAATTTGCCTCACTTAGCGTGTGCAGACTAGGTTTCTATGCGTTATTATTCTAAGGCAATAAATTTAAGGTGGGAAATTAACGCTACGCCCCTGAAGTGTTTCCTAGACGAATTTCTAATTAGAGACATTAAACTGACGATTTGGAGGGTTGCCAGTTTTTTATGTAAAAAAAATAGCGTTGTCTAATCCTTTAGGATTGATGGCACTGACCATTGACTTACAATTATATGGACGTCGGGTCCGCGCTAAAAACTGTCCGCACTTGTAAGGCGCTAAAATCGTATACAGAGCGCGACACTCCGCTTCAGTCTTCATTTGTTCTACTGACAGCGCGATACTGCGATGACATTACAATTTAAATTTCGAATAGGTTGACTTGGGACATTTTTTTCGTGGTTTTTGTATTAGACCCGTCGTCCATTTATTTGTAAGTCAATGGCACTGACTCACTCAGGAAATTTTTGATTGGCAATCGGTGTGTCATTTGAGAGCAACTGGAAACAGTAGTGTCCGAGTTTACACATATAGAAGTTTTTTTTTTCGATTTCATATGACTAGTACGAAGACAGAATATTCACTACAAGTTGATGGTTGCTTGCATCCGACATAAGACACTAAAACATAGTTTCCCAAAGTGGCGGTAGGGGCTTCGGAAGCACTTGGGGGGCTATCTATATAAAATACACTACATTATATAATTTTTTCCTAGTGATTTTTTGTGTTAAACTATTTATTAATTTTAAAATTTTCAATTATTTTTTGTGGTGTGTAAGCCAAAGTTTGGGAGCTTGTGCACTAAAATGTCTATATGTTCGTGAGGCGCCTTATTGTATCGTGAATTAATTTATAAGAAAATAAACACGTTTTTTACGAAAGCGACAGTTGCAATAAATTTTAGTTTGCATGAATTGACACCAATGTTAATTCGCGTGTGCAATATTTCTTTTTAGTTAAATGTTATTTGTTATTGTTTTTTAATATAAATTGATACTGTTTTTTTCAATGTTGTCAGGAAGGAATAGTTAAGTTGCGTTGAAGTTTGGCTGTGCACATTTTTAAACTACACGAAATAGTTTAAATAATAAATGGGTAGTAATAAAGGCTCCGAAAATTAAAAATGATTTTAATAAAATTGATAATATTACTGAGTTATTAGCTAAGTTATCTAAACTTTTGTGCAAATAAAAATTCGGAAACAACCGAATTAATACTGAAAGTTCCGAAAATCCGCAATTAAGCCGTATCAACTTAATTTATATTTCACCGAAAAGTCTTCTATTGTAAATTTAACAACGGCCTTGTACATCATAAACTTTGGTGTTTCTTAAACTGTTCCATCATACGGCAATACTACTATGAGTGACAACAAGGAGGATGCTAAGTTAGTTATTTTTTTCGGAACTTTAGTATATTATTCGGAACTACAGTTTTTCTTCGTGGGATTGTGATTTGAACAAGTTCTTGATTGTGCTAAATATTATTAATTTTGTCGGTATATTTTATACGGCTGTGACCAAAGATAATATAATAATAATTATAAGATTTATTGCCTCAATAAATATAGAAGAACACGGACACGGGACATACTTGTCATGTTCTAGATCTCAGGACCTCTATTCAGAATTGCTATACCTCTTCCTATTACAAAAGGAAGAGGTATAGCAATTACAAGAAAAAACTTATTATATACAATACTAAACAATATCAAATATAGTATATATTAGTGGCATGTGTATGTGTGCGTGATGTGTTTGTGTGTGTCTCAGAGAGTCTCCCTCTGGGTGTGTATGTGTGTGAGATGTGTTGTATGCGTGCGTGTGGACGTATTTACCTGTTATGGGAAGTTGTGGGTGAATGTGTGAGTTTTTTAAAATTAGATCTTTCCAGCAAGCGCGATTCAAATACGCCGCAGCAATTTGTTTTTTTTTCAAAGCCATTTTATAATTAATTTTGAAATTTTGTCAACTTGTTTTCTCTCTTAAAGGGGGAGGAAGATCGTTCCATATTTTTAATATGCCTTCATGCTGGATGTAGGGATGGCAAAGGATCCCCTGCCGAGCAGGAAGGGTCTACTTCCATTCAAGTATTGAGTAGAAGAGAGTATGAAGCGACATTCGCATCTGGGGTCTTTTAATTTGGTCGAGTCTTACTTATTTGACAGTTATTGTTTCGGACAGAGCACGGGAGTAGACACCCTGTCCCGTCCCGGACCTTAACCTCGGTTCACTACAATTTAACTTGTTTTTCGGAACCGTTATTATTTCCCATAAATCCTCAATACATCGTTATTGTTCTTATGTGTCTGCATTCTGAACGTGTAATAGAGTTGAAATTTAGGCGATTTGTATATTCCAATATAATTTTCAACAAGCTGATACAAACATTTTATTTTTACTCGTTTACAAATTTGCACAGCAACCACGTCAGTTAGGTGATTCAGTCAATTGTTGGGACTGATTAATTATTTCCAATTTTTCAATGCAAAAAGAACTTAATATGTATTTTTCTTAACGTCTTAATGTTTATATAGGATAGGATGTATTATATATTTCCTATATTTATTAACTTATTTGTATGATAATTAAGGTATACACATACTGGCGTTGTACTGACGGCGTGTGTGTATGCATGAGGGATTTAGTTAGGTTTTTTTTAAAATATCCGAATTTATACATTTTTAATCAAAATCGTAGTTTTGATATTTAATTAGTTAGCAAATAATAGGGGTTACCATCAAGAGTCCACTTGAGTTTATAATCTTTTTTATATAATAATAAATTTATTTTAATAAACTTACAGACAAATTTTACATTGACACTTGAGTTTATCATTAAAATCTTTTAGTAAAATAACAATTGGAGTTGTACTCTTAATTACAAACTTAAAATATTTTCACCTTTCGGACACACCTTATTATGTAGTTACATTTTATGAATGGATTTTCGATTAAAAATACTGTTAAATAATTTTTTTTATAATGATAGACATCACTATTTACAAAAAAGTATCAGATTACAACTCTCTGAACATCTTTTATCGTATGATTAATGTTAAAAATGCCATTCCAAATGGAGTAATTTTGAGACTCAACTGTATTGTACTCTACATACAAAAATAGCATTTGTAAATATTTTACTGTAAAATAACCTGAAGACGGATTTGTATTTAGCTGGAATTAACGGAATTTTCTGTGTTGCCAGTTTTTTTAATATAATAAAAATAGTGTTGTCTCAAGGAGTCACTCTACATTTATCGATTTGGAATCTCACTAAGTCGATGGTGAAGTTTTATGTCTATATAATAAGAGCGAAAAAGACGATAAGTTCTTATTGCATGATAGTTATAAAGGTTTTTTTTTACCGCCTCTAGCCGATTCCGGATTAAAAGTGTAGTCACTCCCTAAGAGACTTTATTAGTCACTCAGTATAATTTTATTTGTCATACCGCACCCCTCATGGAAGAATGGCATAAGTGGAATTACGTCAAACATGTTTAATGCTCCATTAGATACAGAAGAATATAATCCATGTACTGTATCTAATCTCCAATTGCAGATTAGATACAGAAAAATATAACCCACATCCTGTCCAATTGGGGATTAGATACAGAAAAATATAACCCACAACGTCTCCAATTGGGGAGTATGTGAGTTAATTTTTCTGTATCTAATGGAGCAATAAACATGTTTGACGTAATTCCACTTATGCCATTCTTCTATGAGGGGTGCGAATTACAATTTTATTGTTTCAGCGAATTGTTTAATAACTGAATTAAACACAATGTAGCTGCCAGTTGCATTCAGCTTTAAAAATCTGTTGTTAAAAGTCTTTTAATATACCTATGTCATAAGGTGATTTTTTAATGTATAACCTGTACAAGAAACGAAATTATTCCGAATAGTCGAACTTTTAGAGTCATATTCCAGAACTCTACTCAATGCTTAAGTCAAGACTTGAGTATGATTTAAAGCACTACAAGTCATACTCAAGTCCTCACATGAGCTTTGAGTAGAGTTCTGGAATACGACCCTTGATCAGAAATAATGAACTGACAATTTTAAAGGGTTGCCAATTTTTAAATAAAAATAGTGTTGTC